TATATACATATAATACAATATATATATATATATACAATACATACTTAATATTACATATACATACAATATATACATACATCATATAAATATACATACATAATACATACATATACATACATTATACATACATATACATATACATACATATACTATATATATACATATATAATACATATCATATATATATATACATAATATATATATAATACATATATCATATATATACATATCATAATATACTATATATATATCATACATATAATATACATATATATATAATACATATATATAATACATATATACATATCATATATATCATATATATATATATTATATAGAGAGAGGACAGTAAACAGGACTTTGGCTATGCTACACCATTAGGTAGCTAAAATTCCACATGGCCCTTATACTTTTATTTAACAATAAACATAAAAGATAAAAACTGTGGGCACAGACCTTTTTTGGCTTCTGAAGTTGGGGCATGCCACACAAACTTTGAAAACCAGCTTGCTAACAAGAGGACTTTTGTCACCAGGTAGGTGGAGTTGCATTAGCAATTTAGCTACCATACTAACTGCATGAGTTATCATTATAATTATCCTTCAGCTATGAGAAGGGCTTTAATTTACTAGACATTAGAAAGAAAAGTCCACAAATTAACCCATTATTTATTACTGTCATTTAAATTTGTTTTAAAAAAGACTCACTGTAGCTTTATATTTGACACCAATGAAAACAGATACTCCTTTTTTTCTAATAAGCACACTCAACAATTAGGGACATTTCTGAAAATTTCTTACAGCTAATGTAAATTAGAAATCTCAAGATGACCATTTCCAAATCCGGAATTTGCGAATCAGTTGTACTTCTGCTAATCCAGGAATTTTACCCGTTGTTGCCCTTCTGCCCGTCTGTGGCTATGTTCAAAGTTGCAGGGTGAGTCACACCCTCATAAATGAGTTCCTTTTGGGAAATCCACAAACTTGCAGTCATAGTCAGTCTAGCAGGGCTTTGTAACTGAGTCAAGTTGATCCCAAGGTTTAGTTTCAGTTATGAGGTACATTAAACAAAAAGACAGCTGCCACCGGGCTACTTTGGACATTTACATGTAACTTAATTTCGTATGTGCTCATTGTAGAGCTGATTTGAGGCAATTACGAAATCAAGTGCATTCCCTCCGGGTGAAGGGAGCATGAAATGAGGTCATGCTGTGGCTTCTCTAGAAATAGATGAGTTAATACATAGTTTTCAGTGAACACGACTGACAGGACAAGCACACGTATTTGGGTTGTTTGTTTGTTTTTTTATGAAAAAGACAAATTTTTGTAAAAGAACCAACTTGGACATTAACCGTAACTAAGCCTTTACTTCTTTCAAATGGCCTCAGTGAATTTCAGGAACTGACCATGAGTTTCAGTAACATTTGTTTATTCCCATAAAGTAAACTGGGATGGATTTTCAAGCAGTGATGGTAAACGCTGGTCGTACAGTACATTCAGAGGTTATATTTAGGACCAAATGGATAATGTGGAAGAGGAAGTGAGGTGCATTTGTGGTCATCACCATGACTTCTTCCTCTTAACTTTCCCATGAGCGACTGCTTCTTAAAACAAAGGAATTTCAGTACGAGCTGTTGTGAATGAGAGCAGCGGGGTAGATGCACTTCATACATAAGCAAAAAAGACTGGTTAGTGAGAACCAGCAGATATGACTCAAAAATATTTCAGTTATGAATGACTGTCTGGCTGTTTATAGCGTGGCCTTGCTCTCAGTCACCGGTGATGTAAGATCGGATCTACCACATTATGTAAATGCTGTGCAAAAGTACGCAAATGTACAGAGGGCAAAAACACCTAGAAAAATACGAGGTGCAAATGTAGGCCGTGATCTAAATATTATGAGAAAATGGTGCAGTGTGTGTTTTGATAAATGCAGAGATAAAGGCCGCTTTCGTCAACATGTTTATGCAATTAATAGAAAAATTTTTAAAAAATCCCACATGCAGGTAAAAATTACTTACTTGCTTTATGATGTCTCTTACAAAAAAATAGACTTTTGTTGTTGAAGCTGACTTGATGAATAAAGGTAAACAAAACTGTGTACGCAGATCAGTCTGACAATGACAGGGGTGAGCGTCAGTGGCTTATTAAAGGCATCAGATCCGCCTCAAAGCTTGTAATCAGAAAGCTGGGCTTTTCATTGTTAAGTGCCTGGAGCACTTTGGGATCACATACATTTCTAAGGAGGGAATCCCCTCTTCCTTACTGGCTTCACAGTCTGCCACAGTGTCGCTTTTGATGGCTGAAACCTTGGACTTCCTCACCAGGGATCCTAAAAAAGAAGAAGAAGTAGGCGCTAATACCAGTGATCTAAGCCTATAAATGTTAAATTAAAATGATTTTCCCAAGTCTACTGTGTTCCATTTCAACTAAACGTATGTGCTTTTCGGGAATTCCCTCGCGATGGCGGGAAATTCCCATTCTTTTAGGATACACAGAAGATTAAAGGTTGTAAACATCTATTCTGTATTTGCTTGGATAAGTGTCAGACTGAAGTCAGGGTGAAGTTCTCCCTCTCTGTTCAAGTAGCTGTGAAAGCTACGTCAGTCATTACATCCTTATGCTTTGAAACCTGTTTCCAACAGGAACTGGTCTACCACTGTAACCTTTCTTTTTTATTCTTTATTTCTTAGAAAAAGTTCCCAGACATTCAGGTGGGGACGTGTGACTTATTTTTTTCCACTCTCAGATTGGTGTGTAGAGCCTCGGCGTGTGTGATAATTCAGTCACTTATAGACCCTGTTGAAAATGTGTAGGTGTTTGGTGGCGGGGGAGAATCCCCAGATGGCAGCTCGTGGTCTTTTTTTGTCCTGTGTGTATTTCTACCAGTCTTCCTGTGGTTGCCTTATAGGCGAGATGCTAAAGTTACCCTTCAAAGCCAAAATTGGAACCAGTTATTCCGTGGGCTTCTAAACTGGAGTCAAGATAGTGTGTTATGTAAATGAAAATGTGTGTAAATGTGTTGGAAACTGATACAGTCACCAGTATCTCCCCCAGTTAGCTGATGAGTAAGGAAACATGTGATGCTGTCTGGTAGCTTTTCAAAACCTTGGGGACTTGGGTGCTGTACCCGCTTTGAAGCGTTAATTTGTTTACAGTAGTAGTCAGTTTCACTGCTTTTTACTTAAAGCGTTTTCCGTAACCACAATAACCTTATTTCTATTGTTGCTAGAATGTCTGCCACAAACTTCAATGCGAAGACTGAAACCAAGCCTAGCCTGGTTCTGTCTAATGATCACAAATGACCCATAAACTCCCTACAAATTAAGTCTTGGATTATTAGGTCATACATACGTTTGTGTCATATTCACTGTACTGACAGTGAATATGACCATATCAATATCTCTTGACATGCAAGAATTAAAAAAACAAACAAAAAACAGAAGCAAAAATGTATTGAGATAAAAAAAAAGTTCAACTGAATTGATTGTAATTTTATTGGTATACAGGAAATATTGTGCTTTTCCTCTGTCTTTGTTACAGTGGTGGACAAGGAAAGGTCAAGTGGTCATACTAACCCTCTTAAGTCCAAGTGATCAATGACTGCCCCAACCCTGACCCCGATTCTAACCCTTACCCTCCTCTTCTGTCAACTGAACACTCGATGGATGAGGCAACTCTAGCATTAGGAAATCAAAATATCAACTTTTTGCTTTTATTAACCTGTTTCCCAGACCCTTGGCCATCGTGTAGCAGAGAAAATAATCATCCTAACTGACAGACATTTTTTTGCCTCCTCGAGAATCGAAGGTTAGGGGAGAATTAAGGTTATGACCAATGATGATGTACACCCCAATGGGTTAAATGTGGCCAGAGTTTCAAAGTAATTCCAATGAGCTGAAAGCTCAGGCTTTAGACTGCTCTAAATACTCAATTTGCTACAGTTTCTTCTACTCTTGGCTGGCAATATGACATCCTAATGTCTTAATATGATCATCCCAAGTGGACACAGATTTAGTTGACCTTCTCGTTTGTCAGGGACAGCCAATTAGAAGGGGATTAGCTTAAAGGGAGAATGGCCTTAAAAGCAATAAAGATAAAACCAGTTAACAGTGGATGAAAAGCACAACATAAATGAGTAAATAAGTTATGGTGTTAGAAAATCACTGACAAATGTCTGAGGTTAGACTATGGGACTTTTACTATCTTAAAAATGTCCAGTTAATGCGAGTGAGAAACAGTAGTTGAAAGTTGCACAAAACTAGCTTGCTAAAGAAGCTAAAAAAAGGGCAAACCCCGCCTGAGAGTACCGAATTGAGAAAGAATTTGCTTCGTTGTTGAAAGTTTACGTTAAAAGACCTTAGAAAAACATGTTTTCTTTCAAAGGCTCTAATCCAGTCCTAAAATGTGCCCATGGCCTGAACAAAAAAAAAAACAAAAAACAAAAAAAAACACACTGCAGCAAAGGTAGGTACGTTTTCGCTCACACAAAAGTACCGCAGCTGTTTGACTGCGTCTGTTCACTTCCTTTTTAAAAACAGGGGATGTCCAGCTTCCTGCACTTACTTCACCAAACCCATGACAAGTGATTCACCAAACAGCACAGTTGGTCCGTGTGTGTCAAACTGATACTTCACCGTGACTGAATGCACGATCTTTCAGACACTGACTGATATGCAGGCATTTGGTTTGGATGTAACTTGAGCCCTTGTATCTGCTCGCTGCTCTCAGTACCACTGTAGTGTTTGCTTCAGCTACATAACAGCTGGGAATCTGGCTGTCACAGTACAGCGTGCCCATTCAGGCAACACTGGGAAGGGGTTTTCCACCAGGCACACACACACACACACACATAAAAAACACACGTGACAAGCTAAAAAGACATGCACACAGATTAAGAAGTGCCAGAATTTTCGTGGTTAAGCGGCTAGGATCTTGGGTGCTGTCTATCTCGAGAATTAAAAATACCACCCCATCTATAAATCACCATAAGATAACGTGTGTGGGTAAACTGTCTTTTATTACAAAAATAAGGTACTGCCGCCACAGAAACAACACATCTCCACAAATAAGCATACTGCCAGTTGAGATGCAATCTTTACACAAGTCGATCAAAATTTGATCTCCAACATTGTTTCTGGTTCAACCACGTTTTTTTGTTGTTGTTTTTTTATCCCAAACTTTTACCAAAAATATATATATTTAATGGCTTTGGCGGGGTGGGGGAAGGCAACCAAATATTGCAATAAAATGATTTGCCATTTAAACAATAAGAATAAATATGAATAGTTACATAGTTGTAAATCTGTTATTAATATATACTTTACAAAATAGAAACATGTTAAGTTCAATAGCACCACATTATCATCTAGATGCAAAATAAGAAGCTTATGCATCGTGAATCTCTTTCATCGTACGACTCCACGATTAAGTTTTAAACTAAATGTCAAAAAAGTGCAACAGGTTTGTAATTTGACACTGAGGTATATTATATTCCATATATATTGCATCAGTAATCCTCTTCCCCACCACAATAATCTCCCGCAATGCCACAGGAGTACTCTTAGAACCTGACATCGGATAAAAACTAATATATATATATATATGCGCCAATTGTACAGATTTGTTTCTTTATGTACAAAAAAAAGAAAAAAAGGTAAGTCAGTTGTTTGATTTGTAGTCAAGCTTCTCAGAATTGGAATCTCCACTCGGGGTATTTTCTGCAGTGTAGTGCTGGTCTTCAGTGTTCAGTTACTGTCAGTAAGAAATGACTGTTATTTCCAAATCAGTGTTCTTCCATTTACACTCGGGCACACTCTAAGCAGTGGTTCAGGTACTCTGCAGCTTTTGTGTCGCTGAACGTGGCGAGGCACTGCGGGCACTGCAACTCTGACATGCCTGGGTGTTCGTTCCAGGCAGAGTTTGGGGTTGCCGCCGCAGCCGCAGGTTGCTGGTGCTGCTGGTGCTGCTGCCGCCTCTCAGCAGTGGTCCTCAACAGAGGCTCTGACGTGTCCTTACTTCGCTTTGAGGAGATCCTGTGTCCTATGTGCACGTGACACAAGGGAACCACGTCTCTGCTCTCTCTGCTAGCTCCCTGCTGAAGACAGGGAGGCACGTACACTGTCAGCACAAGCTACACGTACTGGACGGTGGTAACAAGTAAAAGGAAGTCCGTGCTTCTGTCGAGGCACTCATGCACCTAAGTGCAGGGCTGTTGTCTCACCTGTTTGTGCAGCTGCTGTTTTAGCTGAGAAACCTGCTCCTTCAGGGCATCAATCTGGCCCTGCGCTCGCTCCCTGTCCGCACGCTCTGACTTAAAGTCATCAGTGTAGATAAGAACCTTAGGAAGCAAAAAAAAAAAAAAAATCTTTCACATTTAGTTTCATATTTAGTTATTTGACACTATAACCACGCTTAACAGAACTCAGCCAATCACCAGGCATGAAATCGCACCAACCTGTTGCTCAAGTGTCTGAATTTGCTCCTTGTCTTGTCTTCTGATGTCATCCATTTCTCTAGCAAGCCGTGCACACTCCCTCATTTTCTCCTCCAGTAAGCCGTTGAGCCTGGAAATCTCCTGATGAAGCAATCCAGTGTTGGTGGAGCCCATCGCAGGCATCAAGCCCTGCCCGGTGCTGTCCTTCAGCCTCTGACATAAACCTCTTATATAGTCCTCCCTGCTGGAGTCATACTTCTGCCACTGAGTATTCAGGCTTTGTACCTAAAAGGAAATTAAAAAAACAAAACGTCACACCTTCGATCATGCACCATGTTTTATATTCCACCACTGGAGTGTTAATATTGTGTGCAAAAGTAATTGAAATGTGTTTCCTTAAGGACATAATCAGATCACATGTCTATTTTTTTTTCCTGACTGATTTCAGACAACACTAATGAGACTCACGTATGCCACACGCTGCTTTAGCTGTTGATTCTCCTCCTGAAGCTGACGGATTTGGGCATTAACACTACCCATCTCAGAGGACTCTGGCACCTGTAAAAGATTAGAAAACAGAGGTTACAACAGGACCCTGAAAAGTTGAAAACAAACAGCTGTATTATAAAGCTATTTAAAAAAGAAATTACAAAAGCAACTGGTGACTTCTAAAAGCATTTACACACCTCTGCATTCTTTTGCATAAGGGCCACATCTTCCACTTCTCCTCCTCCCCTTTTGTCTTTCTCCAGTCTCGCCATCAGCTCCTGGCACACCTTAACAGTTGCACCGAGCTGCCTGCGTAGCTGGTCGGCCTCCTCGGCCAGGGAGGTACAGAGGACACTTCTGGTGGCCTCAGCCTGCTCCCTCTCCTGCAAGGCTACCCGTAGCCTTTGGATCTCCCGGTCCTTCTCGTGGTCCGGCTGACATCTGATGGTCTCCAGCTCCAGCTCTTTCTCCCTGAGCTGAGTGTTCAGCCTCTGGATCTCCTGAGGAACAATGATGACAGATTCATGGCATGGCAACAACAGCTTGCAACTGATATGTCAGATATGCTCTATGTTTTGTTCCCTGAACACTTCTGCAGTAGAGACTGTAAAATGAACGCGTCACAGTAGACAGCAGCTTACAGTTCAGGGTAACAAACTGATATATAAAAAAATCTATGGTTATAAATCACTGATTAGAGCTGTAGGGAGAAACATCGACTGTGTACAATCTTCAGCATGTTTTTACCTCAGCTTGTCGGGCTGCCTTCAAGTCCCCTTCGTTCTTCTTCTGTTTTAGTTTGCATATTTCATTGAGTAAACTCTCCACCAAAGAGTTGGACGGACTGATGAGCACAGACTCCTTATCTCCCACCGTCATGTAGAGCCTCTCGTGTCTCCCCAGCCTGGCTTTTAAATCTGCAATAACACCGTCCTTTACAGAGATCTGTCTGTTCAGAAGGTCTATTTCCTGCCGCGTCTCATGATACAGAGTATTAAGCACGCTGTAACTCCGCATTTTGTCTCTGAGCATGTCGTTATCCGTGGTGTTTATACTGACGTTATCCATTGCGGGTTTTGTAGACTTTGACAGACGCACCAGTCTCTTAAAAATCCAGCATTTGACGCCTCTGCCTCGAGCCCCGTGTCTTTAGAAAAAGACCAACGTCGTCAATTGTCTCAAATTTGGCTCATCAGAGAATAATATCCCCCGAACCGGGGATTTCCTAGGGAACTTCCCCGCGGAGTTTTTTGAGCTTCGTCAAAAAGGAGCCATGCATGTGTTCAAAAAGGTTCACTGTAGATATCCACAGGTAGAAAAAAAACATTTTATAGCGTCTTGGCACAACTTGGTAAACAAAGAAACATATATTTTAAATGTAGCTAAAAGTTTAAGCTAGGTCTCTTAAAGGCTGAAAAAAGAGAGACGATTGCTGCTTTCAATTACGTCGGAAAATCTACTACTCCTAGTTAGAGCGAACAAAAATTAAGTTATGTAAAAAAAAATGTTTACCGGTGTTTTATTAGTGCCACCATTATTATAAGGATGCATAGCTTTGGCTTAAAAGGGAGAAAAGGGAATGGCTTGCACTTTAGTCAACTTTATTTTATACAACCCAAATGCTGCTTGCTGTTGGTTTCTACAGAAAGTATAAACTATAATATTGAAAGGAATATCAGATTATACTAAATGAAAAACGCTAATTTCCCAGCGGTAGTTTACCGGGTTTTTACACATTCAGTCCCCTAAAAGTCACATTAGGGCATTTACTCGTAGTGTCATAACAAATTCCCCATGCGCGCCACTCATTTTTGTCAGGCTTTAATTTTTCCCACAGCTATAAATGCACCGCAATGCATTGTCATTCAAAGAATTACGCATTAAGGACCACATCGGTGCCGTATTAATGGCTGATTTTAGGATGCAGCGGTCTATGACTGAACATTGTCATCCCGTTTTTGTGTGTGTTTGTTTGGTTTTTGTGCTGAAATTTTGGGAAGTGACACAATGTCTCTTACGGTAGCAAATCAAGAATTTACCCAAGCTGTACTGGAAGCAGCTCCAGTTCATGGTGACCTCTTGGTACTGCAAACTGGGAATACTCATGAATAAACGGATCATGATCTTTACTTTTCTTATGCATTTTCTCTTTTTTAAGTGCTACATTAAAAAAGGGTTCACTACAAAAACGTAATTACACATGGATGACAAAGAACACCACTGATTCCAAATTAATTCATTATACTTGTTGTTGCAGTTTGTAGCTGGCTTTATTTTTATGCAATTTTGTATAAAATACAGATGTAACACATACTGTTGAATCATGGACTGATGTGCTTTTAGCAATGAATGTGTGCTTTGGATGTATAGTCTTAATATGGGTCCCAAGAACCTAGATATTTATGTGGAGGTAATAAATAAATAAATACACCCAATAGAGTACAGTGTGTGTAATCGTTTAGCTGAAACGGTTCCAAGTTTACGTGTGTAACCTTTTTCTCAGACACTTTAAACAAAATGCACAGTAACTAGCATATATAGGTCACACTTACTACATGTGCTCCATTTAGGTTCATCGCTGGACTACAAGAAGAGTGTACTAAGCATTATCGGGTCAAAATGAAACTACTGTCTAGACAGTAGGAGTACCGAGTTAAAGACCAAGAGTGTTCATCAGTTGTATTGGCCAGTGGGGAGTCCCAGGTATTTCTGGGTCAATCACACCAAGAGACATGTGAGGTGTGAAGCTTAATGTCTTTTAATGTCACATGGCAGTCATGTGACGCTTGTTACAATAGCAAGAATTGAGGTGTAAAGTGTGTAAAAAATTGTAGGAAGGTGGGAAGAAGTGTCAGGGTGGAAACTAACTGATTCCACAAAAGAATCTGTCTATAAAAAAACCTAATGCTGACCTGAATCATTTGAGTTCTCTATGGCCTTCTTTTACAGTCTCATCCTAGCAACACCACCCCTTCTTATTGATGATTCACACCTTCATTCATGTGATTGGCAAGTCTCAGAACTCATGTGACAGTAAAATGTCTGGGACTTCCTGAAAGAGTCATCGGTTGACACCTTGTGAACAGGTGGCAAAACACCTTAAACACCATTCATGTTAAGTAGTACAGTAACTTGTAGAATGGAAATATATAAACTTCAGAGTTTCCGCTATGAAAAGAGGCTTTGTTAAGTACTTGTTGCAATGCCGAAACAGTAAGTCCATGGAAAATGAAGCACCAACAGTTATAATAATCATGTAAGCGTTATGCCCCCATAACACTTACACGATAACACTTTAAAGATCAGTAGTTAAATATATCTGTGGTCTGGTGCCTCTTTCCAAGGTTAGTGCTTAAAGCTTCCTCAAGCCGGGTGCAGCACTGACAAAGATTCATTGTCGGCATGAATATTGTGGCAATTTCTCTCAACTTTTCTTTTCCAGGGTGGAATGATTGTACAGCATACATTTCAATGACGCAAAAAACACAAATTGAAAGTATACGTTTGAATTTATTTAGGATTTTCTGTAATCCACACAGGTTAACAATTAGACATATAGGCTCAAATACATGCATATACGCAAACTTAAATGTCCCTTAGTAAGTTACACCTCGGTGCTTTGGGCAGCCATCAACAACTTTCTGGCATAATTCTGGCTGGATATTTGACTGCTCTTCTTGGCAGAATCCTGCTTTATCCATTCAAAATCCATTTTTGATGTGTGTTTGGGACCGTAGTCCCAAACTTGGATCCAATTGTCTAAGTTTCAACCATCTAGCTCTTGATTTGAGGGAAAGATGTAGATTTGGAGATAGTCCTCCTCTTTCATTATTCCATCCACTTTGTGCAATGTACCAGTACCACTGGCAGCAAAACAGCCACAGAGCATGATGCTACCCCACCATACTTGACAGTTGGTACAGTATTCTTAGATTTGAAAGCCTCACCTTTACTCCTCCAAACCTCCTCTTATCAGTGTGCCTAAATAGCTCAATCTTTATCTCATCTGGCCATTAAACCTTTCTCCACAAAGTATTTGGCTCGTCCAAGTGGGCAGCTGCAAATTGCACTCGAACTTGAAGGTTCTGATTTTGGAGCAGGGGCTTCTTCCTTGGTTGGCACCCTCTCAGTCCACGATGATGTAAAACTCTGTAAATGCTGGTATTCCAACTAGTGTTTCCAGTTCATGGCAGGCTTGGTGGTTCCTGGGTCGTTCTTGAATATCTCAACCAATTTCCTTTCATCTAAGAGTGATGCTCTTCTTCCAGACCTTGGCAAAGTGGTGACACATAAAATAATTTGTACTTGTGTACAACTGTTTGAACTGGTGCTCTTGGAATTTGCAGTTGAGTAGAAATGGCCCCAAGAGACCTTCCAAACTTGTATTCTCACTTCTTAGATTTTCATTGAGCTTCTTGGACTTTCCCATTTTTCTGAGTATTGGTCAATCCAATTAGTGCCAACAAATAAATCCTTTCTATGCTCTATGCTGGTAAAAAGAAACTGTCAGCGGTTATTAAACATGTATGATCACTAATGAGAAGTTAATAGGCCTTGGCCTAGTCAAGGTAAAAACACTGTGGAATCTTCAGCACCAGTTATTAAAAGATTTAAGTGAGTCCATGTATAATATTTTGCCTGTGTTTATTTTGTTGATTAAAGAAAATCAAAATCAATTCAAACTTGTGCACCCAGTTCTTTAAATGGTAAATGGCCTGCATTTGTATAGCGCTTTACTAGTCCCTAAGGACCCCAAAGCGCTTTACACACACAGGTAATGGCAAGCTACCTTGTAGCCACAGCTGCCCTGGGGCGCACTGACAGAGGCGAGGCTGCCAGACACAGGCGCCACCGGGCCCTCTGACCACCACCAGTAGGCAAACACGGGGTTAGTATCTTGCCCAAGGATATTTGGCATGCAGCCAAGAGGCAGCCTGGGATCGAACCACCGACCTTCTGATTAGTGGCTGACCTGCTCTGCCACCTGAGCTACAGCCAGCGTCCATTGTACAGCATCCATTAAAGATGCACGCTGTACAATCCTTCCATCTTAAAAAAAGAAAAGTTCAACGAAATCATTAAAAAGTCGGTTTTCATCATTGAATATGATGGTTGGCTGTTGCCTGATAACCTAAAACAGAGGTCTTCAGGTTTTGTTGGTCTTATATGACCACTGATGGTCTTCTGCTCAGTGCAGGAAAGCTGTGTATTTGCTGTGGACTACCATAATCCACCATCATAATAAAATTATATAGTACCGTATATTTTATTTTTGTTACAGCATTCGATGAACTTCCAAGAGTGTGCTTTAACATTTATCGGTTGCTATTTAAAGATGAAGTGAGTCTTTTTCTGTTGTGACCTTTAGCGTTAGCCCACTTTTGGTAGGTCACTTGTGGCTGCTGCTCACTAGGCGAATGAAATAACTTTCTGTGGTATCGACCACGCTATTTGTGATCATGTGTGTGGGTGTGGGTCTCCATTTGTACTTGGACATTTGTGTGTTTACTTTACTTTGAGAACCCTTTTGTGGTTTAGGACCACGCTTTATGTGACAGTTTGCGTTGTGGTGGCAACAGATTCCTTTTGCCTACTGTTACATGTTGCTATGTTTGTTTGATGTGTGGTAGTAACTTGGTTTGTGGCTTTTATGTCGACCTTTTCATGGGTCTTGGGTTATTATTTTCTGTGTTCAGTATAGACCTTTGGTAAGGTATCATGTGCTGGGGCTTTTCCTGTGTCGGCTCAGGAATTTGTTAGGTCACCTGTTGCTTCATTTGGTGATTGGAAAAATTTGGAAAGAACACTTATTTTCCAGTTTCCCCTTCCCTTTTTCTCTTTTAGATCTCTGAGATCAAGGGCTAGACCACACTGCTGGTCAGGAGTGGGGAATTAGGTTTCCCAAGTGGCCACGTGAGAACTGGGGACGATAAGGTGAACTTAGTTCTGTTCAATATTAGATGAACTGCCCACCCCTGATCTAGAGTGTGTTTGTCCTTTCTCTTTCTTTAATTTATGAGCCGGGACATAAGAGAAAGTAGCTCCTCAAGTGAAAATATTAATCTTTTCATCATGAATGTAAGAAGCCTTTAGATTGAGTGATCAAAGATGAAAGAGAAAATCAAAAATAATGAACATTTACTAGTGTCAGTTGTTCTTTATCTGCCTTTTAAACACCGATTGATTGGAGCTTCAAGTGATTTAAAAAAATTACTAAAGGTGTTGAATAAACCTCAATGTGTTCAGAAGCAAATCTTACAATAAGACAATTAATTTTATGGATCTTATAACTGTTAACTTTTTTAATATTTAAATGTTAAAATACAAACTGGCATTGTTACACTTGCTGGTCACTGTATTAGGTACAGCTTGCTAGTATCTGGTTGGACCCCTTTTTGCCCCCAGAAATGCTTTAATTCTTCATGACGCGGATTCAACAAGGTGCTGGAAACATTCCTTAGAGATATCAGTCCATATTGACGTGATAGCATTGCTGCAGATTTGTCGGCTGCACACTGAGACTATGATCCGGTGACCGTGGAGACCATTTGAGTACAGTGTACATTGTGAGAACATGACATGGTATGTGGCATAGTTATTCTGCTGGGAGCAGCCATCAAAAGATACTTAAGTAGGCTGTGGCCCAAAGTGTGCCAAGAAAATGCACACCCCCACCACCACTACACAAGCAGCAGCCTCAACCATTGTTTTCATGCTTTCATTATGTTTATGCTAAATCTGGATCCTATCAGCCGAATGTTGCAAAGGAAATTAAAACTCGTCATACCAGGCGACGTTTTTCCAGTCTTCTGTTGCCAGTTTTGGTGAGCCTGGTCAAATTGTAGTCTCAGTTTCCTGTTTTTAGTTGACAGAAGTGGTTCCCACTTCTGCTGATGCAGCCCACCACAGGTGTACATTTGATATGTTGTGCATTCAGAGATGTTCTTCTGTGTACTTTGGTTCTAACAAGTTGCGATTATTTTTGCTGGATATTTTCTCTTTTTTGGACCATTCTCTGTAAAACCCAGTGATGGCTGTGTTGGAAAACCCCAGCAGATCAGCAGCTTCTGAAATATTCACAAATGCCATGTTCAAACACGCTTAAATCACCTTTCTTCCTCATTCTGATGCTCGGTTTGAACTTCACCAGGTCATCTTGACCATGCTTATGTGCCTAAATACGCTAACGTGCTGCCACGTGATTGGCTGATGAGATGTTTGCATAGAGGAGAATCTGAACAGGTGTACCTAACAAAGTGGCCGGTGAGTGCATATCCAGTGATCTATGATCAGATTTTTAACAGTGAATTCCGCTAGATGGCAGTGTTAAATCAGTATGTTTCTCTATCCTATAGCTGTGGGATCAAGATTATTTTAAAGTAGGAAAACGACCTCTCTCCTGTGCACAGCAATGGACCGGCTCATTTCAAATATTAACTTTGTATCTTTTAATTGCTGCAAACTTTACACAAGAATAAATGACAGTATTTGATATTTACACTGTAATACATCCAAAATGACTTATGTTTCAAGCACACACACAGACACACAGTTACTTGCATTTACCAAACTACCTGCTAATCAAAACCGTCCAATCATCAATACCAAGAAGCAGTTTGCGTCACTCAGAATGAAGATGCAAAGTTGAATGTTTACATGACACATGAGTGTCTAGGAGTAAAAAAATATTTTTATCATATGGTGGTAGAAAATTATGCAGTTGCTCAAGTACAAAACGTTTACCAAGAATTATTAAAATACTGAACGGGAAGAGAATATAGCCAGCTATCTCTCATTTGAGGAAATGGTAGGAATACAAAACCACAAATATTTGCTGTATGCTTCGCGCTAGGCACCCCTGGATCACAGCTTTAATCGCTGGGCACTGTGTAAAATGAATCCGCGTTAGCATCTGAGGCAGAAGTGACTTTCTATAAGATGAGAATACATTGTTAACTTAATCCAAGCAGTACATCACCAGATCTGTTGCTGCTGATCTCAAAGCTGTCCAGGTCTGCGTGTTGTTGTTGATTTTAAATGGGGCTTTTATAGAAATGACGGCTAAAAAAACAATAATGTTAAAAGATTTAACACCTGATTTGACCTCCTGGAAAAGATGAGAAAAACGCCCTAAAAGTCTGACGAGCTCACTCTGTGAGCTTTACCAGGATGACACATCTGCCAGTGATAAGTAGAGTCAGTCATTTTCAAATCCTGGACTCAAAGCTTTGCTAGTTTTCACTCTCTCCGTGTAAGTTGTGATTGCTCTGGACCTTGGACAGCAGCTGAGTTCAATTAACTGTAACTGATGGGGCCGCAGCAAAGACCATTGGCTGGGGAGGGACGCACAGTTTGAAATTGGCAGCTAGGGGGCACCAATGTTACCGGTGCGTACAAACTGAATGGAAGTCTGTCTGGAAGTCTGATTTTCACAATAAAAACCACAGTTATAGTTTTAGAGTCAAATAAAAGATTTTTGGTTTATTTAATTAAGCGTGTTTATCTATACTTTATACCCCATTTCAACTTCTTCTTCTTCTTTTTAAACATTATCTGTATTCAATGATAAACCAATGAGAGAAACAGTAAGCTGTGCGTCCTCTGGGGCCAGGCAAACGTCTTTGCTGCGCTCTAGAGCAGAAAAACCAGAACTGCGACCACAAAAGAAGGACTCCCTCAACAAAACTTGACCTTCAACCTTAACATGCAGGTACCCACCCCACCTCTTCCTCCCCCCCTCTTCCCTAGCACTGTAACTTGCGGACGCTGCGTGAAATCCTTTTAAACTCGCGCTGTCCCTTCTGCCAGCGCTTCAGAGAGGTGATGACCAGATGGCCATCCATCTTCTGGCCCATGACCAGGTATGCGGCGTTGATGTCGTCCATCTCCTCGCAGATACACTGCAGCCCGTCCTTCAGCCACAGCGCCGTCTTCCTGAGGTCTCGCTCCGTCACGCCGTTCACCATGTAGATTGTCTTGCTCTTCGTGTCCGGCACTATTTTGGTGTCGCCGTTGATGTAGGCGATCTCCTTCACTTTGATTTTCAGAGCTTTAGTGCATGCAGAACGAAGAAAGAGAGCGAGAGATGAAGGAAATGCTCACTTATGAAAAACGTGGGAAATCCATGCAGGGGTGGAGGCCTAACTGATTCTCCTCTTCATGCTGCCCTGAGACAACGCGGCGAGCTCTCAGGGGCCCCTAAGCTATGCTGACCTTGATGTACTAATGCTCTGATGCATGGGTTGGGGAGACTTACCAAAGTCATTTTTGCAGAGGTTCTCAACAATTTCGTTGTCATTTTCATCCGTTTCCATGCAAGCATCGCACACCCTGGGCGCTGAAACGGGAATCAAATGAGGCAAATCTTAAAAAATGATTTGTGCATCTACTAAATATACGTGACTAGAACACATGCGTCGATTTTAATTTTTTTTATATATATATATATTTTTACATTTTTTTATAAAGCTGCAAATATGTGTGAATTTTGAGCCAGTGTGCCTCAAAGTGAATTTGGGATTCATGCAGAATGTTTGTTACCCTCTTTGGTGGCTGGCGCAAAGCTGTCGATGCTTGCAGGCGGTATGCACAGGTCATTGTCGAGTGGGAAGCGCTCGCAGTCCAGCATCTTTGGCCATGGAAAGCCAAAGGCGGACATCACGGGCGCGCAGCCGCGCTTGACGTTTTCACAGAGAGACCTGCACGGCTGTATGGGCTCGTCCAAATCGTCCAGACAGACCGGAGCGAAAAGAGAGCAGAGGAACTTTCTCGTGTCCGGGTGACACTGTTTCTGGACCAGCGGGATCCAAGACGACGCTTGCTGCAGTACTTCGTTCATGGTTTCGTGTCCGAGCAGGTTCGGGAGGCGCATCTCCGTGTACTCTATATCGTGGCAAAGCAGGAGATTTGCAGGGATTGCCTTGCAGTTGTTCTTCTTGTAGAATAGTTCATGCTGGCCGAAGTTATACAGTCCGTGGATTGCTTGCAGGCAGGGCATTGTTATCACCCACAGCACCGCCACGGTCGGAGTCAAAGCTCTCATGCTGTCTGGTGTATGTGAAAGTTTCAGGCTTTGGACGGAGCTTCTGTCAGTGGCAGGCTTCTACTGTGACAGGAGGTTTTCTTCCCGGCATGTCTGGGAGGAGTCTGTATAATATGCGCAAAGGCCTCTTCTTCATTCGGCACATTTGGTTTTCCTCCTATCAGGTGAACCATGTGGACAAATTTGTCTTCTCGGTCAAAGATTGCCCCCCCCCCGCGAAATTCTTACTCCTTTGGAGCGTAGAGGCATTTTTGATTTCTAATTATGGCTCGTAGTATTTTATCACCAGTCGCTTTCTTGACAGCTTCCCTCCCCCGAGTTAATCTCTGGCTCTCCGTGGAAATTAAAACAAATGCGTCTGACAGGTTCCCCTCATTACGCCCAAATCAACAGACATTCATCCTGAGTGATCCCCCGTTTTCTTTTCTTTTTCTTTTTTTGCAAATAGTTTAGAAATGTCAGTAGGGGCATTTAGCTCAGTTCACTGGAGCGTTAATTTTCCATCATTAGGAGTGGTGAAATCCTCCGGGCAGGTCTGCAGGTTCCATACCACATGGTGAAATATTGTTTGCCCTGGTGTGAGAAGCAGACCTGCACAAAGCACACCCAGGGGTGAAACCAAATCTGCCTCCTCCGGCACTGCAGCTCTGGCTCATGTCCACTCGCAGACCCCCATGAGCTACAGTCACGTCTGCAGAGAGCAGCGTGGTTATTCTCAGGCTTGAACTTCCTCTTCACATTCACTTGAATGGAGCTGAAATGAATTAGGACTTTGGCCTTTGGATCAGTTCAGCAAAATCACAGAAACATATTTTCCTCCTTAGGCTACTCCCCGTGGAGATATGCACATGCTTTTGGCTACCCAAATCCAGATATCTGTTGTGAGATGCCTGCTGCCTGAGAGCCCTGCAGCAACGTGGCTTTTGTTTCCAGTGGCGAAGACCTGAGGAGCATTAATTAAGTGCCACACACTGATTCCTGTATTGTCAGTGCTCCTTTCTATTCCTTCGATCATTCCAAAAGGTTATGAGTCACTTGTTCTAAGTAATAGTCAAAAAGGTATTTGAACTGAAAACACAGTTGTAGTTTATTTGCTCTGAATTGAACATGTCATTAAAGTTTATGGGTCCACGTGTGCCAGTTTTGAAAGGGCTCGCTTTGCTGTTTTTCTTTCCATAAGAAAACAAGACAGAATATATAAATGATTTGGTGAACCTGGCACATCTAAAGAGTATCTTAAGAACAGTTTTGCACACTTACATGAAGCGTTAAACCGTTTACCTCCTGCAGATACAGCCGCAGTTATTTCCAAGAATCATTAGAGGACAGCAGCAGTGGTAGCGAGTTCATGTCCCAATGGTGTATTTCCTGTATTTGAAATAAAATAATTTTCTTTATAATAATTATAGAAAAAAATAGAACAGGGTTGCAATGTTGCATGCCCTCAAAATTAAAGGTGAAATCTAAGGATTTATGTTTTTCTTATTTGGAATAAATCTCCTCCCAAGCCACACTGAAATTCCTCCACTAGTAAGTGTTGCTTAGTAGCTTATGTCACAAAGTGCCATAGACGTCCACTGTTGTCCAGAACTAAGAAAAAACTTTGCGATGCGTCCAGCAGATAACTGAAGCATTCATTCAAAAGTGGAGAGAAGCATCAGCATGATAGTTCCTCTGGGGTGATGAACTTCTCATTATCCATTTGAATTTTCAGCATCATGTCATTTGCTTCTTAGGAAACAGCTGTTTCACTATGCTGGTTAATTTCTTTTTTTACATCTTGATTTATGCTTTTGATTAAAAGTAAGTCAAACATTTTCTGCAATTTCAACACTCTTTTTTTAAAACAATGAAACAAAACCTTTGCAGTGGCACATGTTACATATTGCCTCCGTGGCCCAATGACAGCTGCAGCTGCGCAGTGCTGTGGGGGTTGAGGATTACACTTTCACCAGTTTAATAGCACTATGATGGATACATTTAACATTCATCCAGTGCCTGTTTGTTCTCATGCAATTCACCTATTCTTCATAGACAATATCCCACTTAGAGTAAGTGGCCTAAATGCTATGTAATTTTTGTAATTTGGTTGAACTAACAAAGCAGGGAGACTTTTGACTTTGAAATTGAACACGATTATTAGCATAAATTCCAGAGACTTGTTTCGTAACCTGTTTCAGATTCTTCTCTTTTTAATTTTCTCTTATCACCAGCAAATTCAATTCAATTCCAGTTTATGTATATATCAAATCGCAACAAGAGTCACCTCAAGGTGCTTTATATTGTAAGGTAAAGACTACAATAATGCAGTAATAATACAGCCCCGCCATGCACAGACACCCCCTTCAGCAAGCACTTTGCAAAAGTGGGAAGGAAAAACTCCCTTTTAACAGGAAGTGACCTACGGAAACACATTAACTTAAAGCCCAAGTGTGATAAGTATGGGTTTGCCCTGTGCTGATAGTAAATTTCAGTTGCAGACGTTAGTAAATCAGTTTGTGCACTTGATTTAAAATTTCTCCTCCCTTTTTTTGCACCTTGGGAAAGGAACTCCCAGAAACACATATGCATCAGGGTCAGTTGTAGTTCCCAGCTCTTATACACACTCTTGTCACTGCGCTCTCTTTGTAAGTATTGACAGTACTTTTTTTTCACCAAAGTGCAGTTTGCGATGGCGCAACGCGTTACTAAATCTACCCCCAGTGCCACTAAACAAGATCAGATTTAAGCAGGCCTCATATGCAAACCGTTATGGGAGATATGCTGCAGAATCGCATATGTAAAATATGTGGGCGAACAGACAGAGGAGTGCATCGTCAGGGCTTCATCTCAGCTTTGGAAATTACAAGAACCAAAGTCTTAAATCAAAGATTAACCAGATCCAAAGGGTGGGGGATGGCCTGGATCAAGTCTAACAGTGTTTAAGGGTTTATCTCTCTAAACACAAAGCCTCTATTACAAATGCACTTTCACAGACATTTAAGTTTGGGGGCTCAGCGGAGACGTGAGCTGAGCGTTACCCCAGCAGGTTCTCATTACAACTCTGTGTAAAATCGAGAAGCAGCTCGTCATCCCATCTTTAGCTCAGTAACCTCGCCCCCATGCTTTGACTGTTTTTACTTAACGATGCTCCTCTCATTTCTTTCATTCTTTTTCTTTCATAAAGACTCAAACTACTGACAGATATGATCACAGACTGGGGCAAAGCTCAAAACAAAGTTGGACCCTAGGGGCAAATGTTTCGAGACATCAATTTATTGACTGTTTATAAGACTCGTCTTAGTGTGAGGAGCATCAGCAAACTATGATGCAAACGCAGGCCTGCTGTTTTTCATTTGGTATGTTTTGTTTTACCATTTCCACGCAGACAGGCTCATACAGCTTCATACATTAGCTTTCAGTAAATGAAAGGACGGGTCTGCTAATCATTTATATATTTTTGATTGTCAACAAATCTCATTAAAAAGCCATAAACAAAAACAAATTGATCCAAGAATGAAATTTGCAGCCAAAGGCAAATCAAGTTTCCTTCACTGTGTCACTGACATCCATTACTGTCAGTCTGAAACAGGAAACACATGAATGAGGCACAGCGCTGCACCAGGTGACATGTTTTTCATTATAATGAACAGTGGCTCCATGGTGTAAGTCTCCCCCACATATCCAGCTACAGTCAATGCTCACTGATACACCAACTGTGTGTTGAGTTGAGGAAAAAAGTAGTCCATGTCATGCATGCACGCACACACACACACACACACACACACACACACACACACACACACACACACACACACACGCTCCTGCCTTTATAGCAGAGCTACTGTGACCTTATAACAGCAATCTGATCTTCTGATTAGGGGCTCCTAACTGTTCCACTCTCTTATTTTAAAAGCAAAGGCAACAACGCTTTTGAGGTTGGAGCACTTAAACTTTCAAACTTCCTCAGCCTATCAGATCAGCTCAATCTGTATGTTTTTATTTAATGACTGGAGAAAACTCATTTTTATAGTTTAGGGTTTCTTTGATCTTTCTCCTGTTAATTTTGACCATAATCTGTATCTAATGTGTGTAAGTTGTGCTGGACTGCATGTGTCTGTATTTAATGTGTGGCTTTTTTTTTTTTTTTTTTTTGTGATGCACTTTGTAACCACGGGATTTAAAAAGTACTATACAAATAAAGTTATTATTAATAATAATGATAATGAATAATTTTGCAAGCTGGAGTCTAAATTCTTTACTCATTTTTACCGAGATGGTTTTACTTGGTGTTAACTGTGAAACTACAAAATATGCTTAGTCCACTACAAAGCCTTGACTGATAACCTTTACTTATATTCAGAGGCACCAAACTGAGAATCAACTGTACGGCTCTGAACATTGTCTTGAAATGCACTAATGAGCGTGTCAACTTGAATCACTCTTTTTCTACACAAACATTTGGGAAGGTATTCATCCCATCCAAGAGGAATTAATCTCATTAGAGCCCCTTGAGTTATATAGATCGTGCCTGCTTGGCGTAATTGATGTTCCTATTGTACAGGTCTAATTGACTCAGTATGGGGTTTCAGTGCAGCAGCTGGGACACAAATATCAGGCTTTGGCATAACCAAATCCATATTACAGATGCATGCATTGCACAGAGAAATGGGCAAATACGTGGAGGGTAAGAATATGAAGAATATGTGTATCCTACTCTTATGTCTGTAGAGTATCACCCAGCAACAGGTGTTAGCTGAGTTCAGCTAACCATAAGCTCTGTTCAAAGGTTCAGAGTCTAAAAGCTTGAGGTTGAAGCTGTTGATTAGGAGCAGTACCTTGAAATAGCAAACAAAAAAGGAATTACTACCATAGTCGTTGTTATTCCTTTACAGATTAAATAATCTAAATTTTAAAAAAGTTGCTTTCAGCTGTTTCTTTATTCATAAGGCATCAACCACAGCAGGTAGCAACACATGCTATATTTGTCAGATTCTTATGCCAGATGTATGGCCTTCCTGACGCAACCTCACAAATGAGTGAAATGTCAAAATGTTTAACTACTGCTCTACTGAGGACTAGTATAGAGTCATGTAATTAGTACTACTCACATGCTGGGTAAGAAATAATAACAGTAATAACAACA